TGTCACTGACTGGAACTCACCACTTGGTTGAAGAGGGGGTAGAGCCTCGGCCGTTCCTAAGATATGGTTAGAACTGCTCAGCCGACAAGAGTACATAAAACTTACCATCCTTCATTTCTTGGTCTTTCATCACAGCTTCTGTTTATCTACATTAAGTAGACAATCCTTGGTGTGGAGTAGGGACAATACCTGGATTTGTTAAAGACATATCAGTCAGAGAGTAGATAGCTTTTCCTGGGATTGCACTGTGTGGTTGGTGATGAAGACGCATTGTTTTTCAACAGTGGGAAAGCAAGCCACTGCAGATCGGCCATGGAACATTCTGCGGATCTCGGTTGAACATTGTACGGATCTCAGTTGAAGTAACGCCACCACGTGACCGTGTTTACAACTTCGTAATTTCACATTCACCATTGTCCCATTCCGATGCGCACATTCACCACCCTCGATCGTCCCATTCCCACTTACCATGTCCACTGCTGAACTTGCTCAAGCCGCTCAACAGGCCCATACCCTCACTCCCGGGTTCTTGGAGGATGTTAGGGTGGCCACCTCCACGCTTTTGAACTTTTACAACCGTCACAGGGAAGGTCTTCTGGCCCACCAACGGACGGTGGAAGAGGATGCATACGGGAAAGCTGTGAGTAACTAACAATGATTTGTTGACTGAAATTGGATCTCTTTCTCCTACAGGAATGATTTGTACGTTTGCTCATCGACAAGAATATGTGGTATAACGCGGCCCAGTGGCTCAACCACCCTTGGATTTTGGCGTACACGGAAATGGCCCGAGCGGGACCATCGGTTGATTGGACCAAAATGTTCTCGATCCCACAACCCACCACCCCTACCTTCTTTATGGAAGGTTATGCCGGTCCCTCTCCCCCTTTACCTCCATCTTCGACCGATTCATTGCTCCCAGTCACAGTCCCAACTCCCCCATTGCCGGTACCGACAGCTTCATCATCGCTCCCGGCCCCAACAAAACCAACGCGTCGGGCAAAATCAACCGATCCTGTGCCAGCAGCTGAAACGAAGACCAAGAGTAAGACGAAGTCTGGGTGAAGGAAACCCGAGGCCGGGTCCAGCGCCCAGCCACAATCAGAGGTGACTCCTAACGACACCGCTGCCCCAGTCCAAAGCAAAAAAAGAAAAGGGGACTCGATCGAAGCCAGGCCAAAGAAGACCAGAGTCGTGAGTGCGGAGTTCATCAACAGCAGCAGTGATGAGGAAACATTGAAGCCGAAGTCGGAGTCACTTCGACCGGTTGGTGGGGAAGCAAAGGCGGTTAAACCCAAGTCCCAGCCCCATTTCTCCTGCATGACACCCAGTGCCGGCTTCAGTCTCATCCGAAGGCCCAAGTTAGACCCCGACGCCGGTCCTCCCAAGACCGCCATGGCCGCTTTAAGGCAAGCCAAAACTGCCGAACGTCTTGCAAATCAGAATGCCGCGATTGCGAAAGGCAATTATCAGCTTGCGGATATCCCCTGTGAGGCCTGCAGCAAACGCCAAGATCGAGACATTGTTCCATGCGCTATCCGTTCCCCCCCACAACAAGGATCCTGCTTCACCTGCAGTACGGGTAAGACGACCTGCACATATGCAGTAACCAAGAAAAAGGACACCGACAGTGAGGTCGAAGACGAGATCCAAAAGGGGTTGCAGGATCTTGAAACAGCCACAGTCTCCGGGGGAGATGCCCAAGTGAAGATCGTGAGGAAGAAAGCGAGGTCAAAGAAGCCGCAGGTGAAGAAGGTGAAGCCGGATGTCAAAGAGAAGGGCAAGCAGGATGTCGAAATGGCCGCAGTCGGGCATGATGTGGAGCATGCAATTGACGTGGACATGGAGGTTGGTCTGACAATGGGAAAGGGGAAGTCCGAGGGTGGTATCGACATAGAGATGGCCGAAGTCAAACATGAGGAAACTGAGGTCGGTGCCATTCCAAAAGCCGACAAAGATGTGGGCCGGGTGACTCCCACCATAATCATTGAGCCACCCACACCACACACATCAGCGATTTTCAAGAGCACTGAGACCGAGGTCGGTACCAACACTGACAAAGGAAAGGGCCAGGAGATTGGGCCGCCAGCCAGTGAGATGGAGTGGATCGTGCCTGAGTTAGCAATGCGGCCAGGTAAAAAATTCATGAAACTCGTTATTCTTTGCTGACTTTGTTTATAGAATTGGGCTTGGCTGTCAATTATATGCAACAAAGCTTTACACCCCCACCTGTTGAGCGCACGTCCCGGCCAGAAGGTTCGCGTTTGGTATCCCGTTCTCGGCAGGTCAGCCCACCAGATCCCAAGGAGGTTCATCGTAAGTTTCAAGTTGTTTTCTCATTTCCCATGATTCTCAACTTGAAAACTTAGTTGACACAGCGCTCTATCAGAAGAAGATTGACTTTAGGTCCTTGAGCCCCCCACCGAACTTCGACATGCAGACGATGCAGCAGGAGATCAGAAGACTTGCTCATGGCCAAGCCGACCTCCTGCAGAAACTCCGAGACCAACAAGCGCAAGTCAGCGTCATGGAGTCGTCTACCCCTACTATGCGAGAGTATTCGGCATTTGTGGTCCGAAAACAAGATATTGACGCAAGTGCCCTTCTCCCCCTGGCAGTTGACTCACCCGTGACCCTGTCACAACGTCTTTTGGCGCTCGAAGAGATTACCCAGTGTATTCAAGATCAAGATTTGGCTAGCCGTCCTCTGTCGGAGAAAATTGCAAGTCTAGAGACCTCCATTTGGTTTGAGGAAGAAAAAATCACCAGAGCAACTCGCCGGATGGACCGTATTGAAGAGTCTGCCTACATGCGTTGGAAGGAAACACAAGAAGATTTGCAGTCCATCCGAAGTGATCACCAGAGACTGGAAGCCGAGGTGAGGGAAGCCGTCAAGACACTGGAGAACAAGTGGGAGACTACGCCAGCTGCGTTACAAGAGAGTCTCACCCGGGGCTTTGAGAAACTTGCAAGCCGCATCGAAACTGCCGAGCTAACGCTCCACGACCTCACCAAATCAGTCACTACTATTTCGGAGCTCAACCTGCGGCTCGGTGCTCGCCAATCAAGTCTGGAATTGCTCATTATCCAGTTCCTCGGCAACAAGGAGAAGAAGCACACTGGCATCAATACCGATCGCTCAGTCTCACCCGACCGCGGTCAGAAAAGCCAGCAGGTACAAGTCTCCCCGACCCCGGGTGTCGTTCTGCCAAACCCAGTTTCAACCGATCATGCGCAAGTCTCTCCAACCCCGGCCGTCTTTCTGCCTCCAGCATCTGAGAGCCCAGCGGTCCTTCTGTTGGCGCCAAACCCAATTCCTCCAACCCGGGCAAGTTCGCCCGGTCCTTACATTGGGGGTAATAGGAAGTCACCTCGGCTACAGAAACTCGAACCCACACTTCAAACCCCCGCACAGAGTAAGTCTTCTACTTGGTGAGGATTCAAAAATCTGACTGCCAGCAAGTTACAAACAATGATGTCCAAACTGTCCAAACTCCGTCTACTTAATAGTTAGTAGCATACATGTATATTTTTTGGACAATCTTCAATTTTTTTTTGGGCATATTTAATATGAAGTCCTGTGGTGGACATAATAATGAAAGCAGTAAGGCCTCGGCTTCTTTCACGACCCAGTAAACTGTGACCGGCAGAGAAAAGCGGGGGGATCTTGGAGCAACTTTGTCCAATGGAGACCGGCATAGTAACAGCTTGGCGTTTATTTCAGGCAGCCGAGTGCGGTTGTTTGAGCCAGACCCGTTCCAACATGGGTATGTTTACAAGAAACATTGGTCGGTATAAACTTGGTAGGGATTTTGAACCGGGGGTGTGCATAATATATCTCACTGCCTTGTGAACGTCACCGTGCTCGGCTTCTTGGGAACACATGGACCCAGTAAACTGCATGACCGAATACTGGACCATGACCGGCAAAGAAAAGCCGAGGTAATGTTTGAGCAACTTGGCAAATAAAACCTGAGTGAAGACGAAACTCGGCCGTATAGTGTCAACTGGATGGGACCAGGTTGGGCTGATCCACGCTGCATGGGATTCAAAGCTCTTCAGCAGACCCATGACACATGAGCCCATTCCATGAAGAGACAGGTTGACCCAGGATCTAAGGCATATTTAATTCATGGGGTACTAGCTGACTGACCATGTCACCGTGCTCGGCTTCTTGGTAGGTGATGGACCCGACCCAGTAAACTGCATGATGACCGGCAATGAAAAGGAGGTCTTTACCATCCCCCATGAGTTCCGGCGGAATCCAGCGGATTCCAAGCAGAATGTCGGAATTCCATGGAATTCCGATGGAAACTAGTTGGCTGGAGCCTCAGCCATTCTGGTTTCCAATTCCACAGAAATTCCAATGGAATCCGACGGAATCCGGTGGAAATGGTTGGAATCCGGGAGCCTCCCGGAACAGTTTCCATTGGAATCCATTGGAATTCCAACCAGATTCCATGGAATTCCAATGGAAAGTATATTCCAGTCAAATTCCAACAGATTCCGAGAGATTCCAATGGATTCCAATATTTGTTGTTGTTATTATAATATATAAAAAAAGAAGTGGATTCACAAGGATACGACGACGACGCGTCACGTCAACACACGACGACGATGCACGACACGTCAGCGACGACGACGACGACGACACGTCAACGGACGACGACGACGACG